TATCTTCATTTTGGGGCTGGGGGGAAAACCAAAACAGTAGTTAATTCATCCGGGATAGGTGGACAACCACATATCACAGTTAGTTCATTCATCTTCAGATAGCTAGGTGGGACCACCACATATCACAGTTAGTTCATTCATCTTCAGATAGCTAGGTGGGACTACCACATATCACGGTAATAGGAAGTACATTTTTCCTCAATAAAGTAGCTATCAACAAAGTCAGAGTCAAGTGCGAGTGTTAGTTCACAAAAGGGTGGTGGTGCTGTGGGATTATTTAAAATACTTTTGAAGAGGCGGGGTTTCAGATGTTTTCAGAAGATGGGCAGGGACTCTGCTGTCCTAGCTTCAGGAGGAAGCTGGTTCCACCATTGGGGTGCCAGGACAGAGAAGAGCTTGGACTGGGCTGAGCGGGAGCTGCCCTCCCGTAGGGGTGGGAGGGCCAAGAGACCAGAGGTGGCAGAACAGAGTACTCAGGTTGGGGTGTAGGGTTTGAGCATAGCCTGAAGGTAGGGAGGGGCAGTTCCTCTTGCTGTTCTGTAGATAAGCACCATGGTCTTGTAGTGGATGCGAGCTTCGACTGGAAGCCAGTGGAGTGGGTGGAAAAGCGGGGTGACATGAGAGAACTTGGGAAGGTTGAACACCAGGCAGACTGCAGATTTCTGGATAAGTTGCAGGGGTTTGATGGCACAAGCGGGGAGCCCAGCCAAAAGTAAGTTGCAGTAGTCCAGACCGGAGATGACAAGCACCTGGATTAGGACCTGCACCGCTTCCTGTGTGAGGTAGGGTCGTACTCCACGGATGTTGTAGATCATGAACCTGCAGGAGCGAGTCACTGCTTCGATGTTTGCAGAGAATGACAGGGTGTTGTCCAGGGTCACGCCAAGGTTATTTGCACTCTGGGAGGGGGACACAGTGGAGTTGTCAACCGTGATGGAGAGGTCTTGGAGTGGGCAGGCCTTCCCCGGGAGGAAGAGCAGCTTCGTCTTGTTGAGCTTGAGGTGGTGGGCCGACATCTAAGTTGAGATATCTGCCAGGCACACAGAGATGTGTGTTACCACCTGGGTGTCAGAAGGGGGAAGGAGAAAAGTAGTTGAGTGTCATCCGCATAGCAATGATAGGAGAGACCATGTGAGGATATGACAGAGCTGAGTGACTTGGTGTATAGAGGGAAGAGGAGAGGATCTAGAACCGAGCCCTGGGGGACACCAGTAGTGAGAGTACGTGGTGCAGACACAGATCCTCTCCTGGTAGGAGCGGACTTGCCAGGTAGGATGTAATCCAAAAGTGTTCAGAGCCTGAGACGCCCAGCCCTGAGAGGGTGGAGAGGAGGATGTGATGGTTCACAGTGTTAAAGGCAGCAGATAGATCTAGGAGGATGAGAACAGAGGAGAGAGAGTCAGCTTTGGCAGAGTGGAGAGCCTCCGCAACACAGAGAAGAGCAGTCTCGGTTGACCCATCTTGAAGACTGACTGGTTAGGGTCAAGAAGATAGTTCTGAGAGAGATAATGAGAGAGTTGATCAGAGACAGAACGCTCAAGTGTTTTTGGAAAGAAAAGAAAGAAGGGATACAGGTCTGTAGTCTTTGACGTCAGATGAGTCAAGTGTTGGTTTCTTGAGGAGGGGAGCAATTCGGTAGTCAGGGATGAGTTGATGAGGGATGTTAGGAATGGGAGAAAGTCTCCAGAGATGCACCTCGGTAGTCAGGGATGAGTTGATGAGGGGAGAAGAGAAAAGAGAAAATCTCCACTTAAGAGAAATGAGTAGCACTGATCACTGCGACGACCAGATGCTCTCAGACTACGAGCAGCTGGAGTAGCAGTGTTCTCTGGGGTGATCCATGTCTCCGTCAGGGACAAAAAGTCAAGGGACTGAAGGGCAGCATAGGCTGAGATGAACTCGCCGTTCTTGACTGCAGATCGGCAGTGCCAAACGCTGCCAGAGACCAGGAATTCCACATGGGTTGTGCGCGCAGGGTACACCAAATTAGAAAGGCTGCAGCCAATGGGTGGGGAGCGTCTGTAAAGCCTACAGGGGGAGGAGCCAACAGGTATAGAAAACACAGATATAGTTGCCAAATCTCTCTCTCTACCCCCCTCTCTCTATGTCTCTCTCTCTCTTCTAATAAATCCCCCTCTCTCTCTCTCTATCCCCCTCTCTCTATGTCTCTCTCTCTCTTCTAATAAATCCCTCTCTCTCTCTCTCAGGTTCACTCCAACATAAAGGAGAAGAGGAAATGGAAGGAGAGAGGGAGGTTGGAGGTAGAGTTGAGTTAAATGAAAGAGGGGGGGGAAAAAAGCACAAAGAAGAAATCCAAACATTCCAACTAGCCAGGTGTACAAAATCTTTGCTGTGCAAAGTCTGTTCACTGTCTGTTCAAACACACACACACACACACACACACACACACACACACACACACACACACCACACACACACACACACACACACACACACACACAGTGAAGTGAAGTGACAAACAATGTTCAATGATTAGCAAGGAGTGTAGAGTTCTAATCTGGAATTCAGTTAGAACGTCATCCTGCCAAAATTAAAAATACCGTAGCACCCACACCATGTGGTAAGAGCGCCATCTAGAGTCGTTTTTTCAGTTTTTCCTGCTCAGATCATCAAAACTCACAGCTGTTTTTTTTAAACATTCTGTATGGTCATTGCATTCATTTAAATATGACATTTCTTGTTTTTTTTATATAGATTAAGGATAAATTCATTAGAGTTACCAGCCTCAGAAATTGCAGCCCAAATAAATGCTTCACAGAGTTCAAGTAACAGACACATCTCAACATCAACTGTTCAGAGGAGACTGTGTGAATCAGGCCTTCATGGTCGAATTGCTGCAAAGAAACCACTACTAAAGGACACCAATAAGAAGAAGAGACTTGCTTGGGCCAAGAAACACGAGCAATGGATATTAGACCGGTGGAAATCTGTCCTTTGGTCTGGAGTCTTTGTGAGATACGGTGTGGGTGAACGGATGATCTCTGCATGTGTAGTTCCCACCGTAAAGGGTGGAGGTGTTATGGTGTGGGGGTGCTTTGCTCTTGACACTGTCTGTGATTGATCGATTTAGAATTCAAGGCACACTTAACCAGCATGGCTACCACAGCATTCTGCAGCGATACGCCATCCCATCTGGTTTGGGCTTAGTGGGACTATCATTTGTTTTTCAACAGGACAATGACCCAACACACCTCCAGGCTGTGTAAGGGCTATTTTACCAAGAAGGAGAGTGATGGAGTGCTGCATCAGATGACCTGGCCTCCACAATCCCCTGACCTCAACCCAATTGAGATGGTTTTGGATGAGTCGGATGGCAGAGTGAAGGAAAAGCAGCCAACAAGTGCTCAGCATATGTGGGAACTCCTTCAAGACTGTTGGAAAAGCATTCCAGGTGAAGCTGGTTGAGAGAATGCCAAGAGTGTGCAAAGCTGTCATCAAGGCAAAGGGTGGCTACTTGAAGAATCTCAAATATAAAATATATTTTGATTTGTTTAACACGTTTTTGGTTACTACATGATTCCATATGTGTTATTTTATATAGTTTTAATGTCTTCACTATTATTCTACAATGTAGAAAATAGTAAAAAATAAAGAAAAACCCTTGAATGAGTAGGTGTGTCCAAAGTTTTGACTGGTAGTGTGTGTACCAGGAGAAATGCTGAGATGTGTTCTCATGTACTACATGTTTGAAAATCACTAGCCTTTGTAAATTATTTAAAAGCTAAAATTCAAGTGAATATTTTTTTTCAGCAATATTTCATTTCAAACCTAAATATTTGTGTTTCAGTGTCCACAGCCAAATATGGTACAATTTCCAGTTTCTAAATACTTACATAAGATGCTGTACTTCCAATGGCTCATCAATCTTCATACAGAATACACACTTTTATTGACAGATTAATTAACCTTGGTTAACCAAAACCTTTAATAGAAACAGGATACAGTCATTTCTGTAAGGCTGTACAAAATAGGTACATGTCTGTAACCGAAGATTCAATACAACACCATTTTACGGTTAAAACGATCATTAATGTTGAATACACCCATGCTCTGTCTATCAAATCTCCTACACACAAACACCATACACACACACCATACACACACACACACACACACAACCCTCGCTGATCTACACACTCACACACACACACCGCTATTCTACAGTCTCAGTTCAGTAATCCGAGGCTTCCCCTCCCCCCCACTGCTATACCTCTCCTCTTCCTCTTCCCCCTCCTCTTCCTCCTCCAGTTGTAAGCTCCCAGAGGAGAACCTCATCCTAGCCAGAGCATTGGACCGTACCACTTTACCCAACGGGGGTGCTGGGCTGTAGTAGGGATAGAAGACCTCTGGGTCTGAATCGCTGTAGCTTCCACCGGCCCCCCCTAGGACACACACCGAGGTGGGCCGGTCTGGTAAGGGGGAGGAGTTTAGAGGCAGGTAGGAGGGTCTTTGTGGAGTCTGGTGACGTGATAAGTGAGGATAGTAACCAAGGGGACGGAACTCGGAGGCAGGGTTGGAGGCGGGGACTACTTGGGGCAACTTGACGTCCGGTTGGCTGGTGGCGCGACGAGGAAGGCCCGGCAGGAAGTTGGAGTCGTCGCTGTAATGTCCCGCCTCTATTCTCCCGACATCCAATCGCCTGGCTGCATTTCTGGTTGAAAGCCCGCCCTGGTACACCCTAGCCAATCCCAACCTGGGTGAGGACGAATCAGAGCGTGAGTAGAGAGAAGGGTGTGTCAGCCCCGCCAAAGGGGCGTGTTCTATCCGACGCATCTGCGGGAGACGCTCCAATGAGGCAACGGCGATGTCCGACAAGTAGGCGTGTCCGTGGGGGTAGCTTGCCAATGGAAACGTTGGAAGGACCGGCTTGAACTGGTAGGCGGGGTTACTGGGGTACAGGAGGACCAATTGCTGCGCGTCGGAGGAGGGCTGGGGGTTGGGCCGGCGTCTCCTCCTGCTGTTTCCATGGTAAGCCCCTCCGACGAAACTATGCCCTCCCTGCCGTTGCCACCCCACCCTCCCCCTCCTCTCCCCGACCACCCCGGAAGTAGATGCGGACCTTTGCTTAGGGTAGGCAGCTGATAGGTGGAAAGCTTGTGGGAGGTGGGACCGCTGGAATTCTGCAGAGAAGACCACCTCGACTGCTGACTGGCTGTGCTTGGGGTTAGCCCCTCCCACTTCCTGTTGTCGTCGCTCCACTTCTTCTTCGCTGTGAGCGAGGGCGGGGCCTCCGGGGCGAGGGAATGGGTGGGATTGCTCGTACAGCTGGACACACACACACAAACACACACACACACACACACACACAAACACAAACACACACACAAACACACACACAAACACACACACACATACACACACAAACACACACACACATACACACACAAACACAAACGAAAACGTGAGGTGGATGGAATGTGAATATATATATATATATGTACAGGGTTATATACAGCAGTGGAAAAAATTAAGAGACCACTGCAAACTTTTCTTAAATCAGCTCTCTATACATGTATGACAGCCATTCCATTCCAGTGTCTGTTGAATTCCAACACAGGCACACCTCATTCTACTGAATTAGGTACTGATTAGGTGATCACATGAACCAAATCTTATTTAACGAGGAAAATTATAAAAACCACTGCTGTGGTCATCACTATCCTCTTGCAATAGGACCAGTTGGATGGCAAAAACAGTGCTAATAGTACCTCAAAAGTAATATTTATAAAAAATTAACTATTGACCATGCCAAATGAGTTGAAAAGGAAAGTTTTGAGTGAGGAAATTCTGGCTTTACTGGCAGAGGGATACAGTGAGCGTCAGGTTGCTTCCATCCTTAAAATTTCAAAGACGGCGGTTCATAAGAACAAGGTCAAGCTGCAGACATTGGGGACAACAAAGCTACAGACCGGCAGAGGGCGAAAACGACTCTCTACTGACCGGGATGACCGCCAACTCATTAGAATGTCACTCAACAACCGTAGGATGACATCAAGTGACCTACAAAAAGAATGGCAAACGGCAGCTGGGGTGAAGTGCACAGTGAGGACGGTTCGAAACAGGCTCCTAGGGGCAGGGCTGAAGTCGTGCAAAGCTAGAAAAAAGCCCTTCATCAATGAGAAGCAAAGAAGAGCCAGGCTGAGGTTTGCAAAAGACCATAAGGATTGGACCGTAGAGGACTGGAGTAAGGTAATCTTCTCTGATGAGTCTAATTTTCAGCTTTGCCCAACACCTGGTCGTCTAATGGTTAGACGGAGACCTGGAGAGGCCTACAAGCCACAGTGTCTCGCACCCACTGTGGAATCTGGTGGAGGATCGGTGATGATCTGGGGGTGCTTCAGCAAGGCTGTAATCGGGCAGATTTGTCTTTGTGAAAGACGCATGAATCAAGCCACGTACAAGGTTGTCCTGGAAGAAAACTTGCTTCCTTCTGCTCTGACATTGTTCCCCAACTCTGAGGATTGTTTTTTCCGGCTACGACAGAGCCTGGATACGAACCAGGATCTCTAGTGGCACAGCTAGCACTGCGATGCAGAGCCTTAGACCACTGCGCCACTGAACATCACAACACAGAACTGCCAATCTCCCTCAGCCTGGGGCTCCATGCAAGATCTCACCTTGTGGAGTTGCAATGATCATGAGAACGGTGAGGAATCAGCCCAGAACTACACGGGAGGATCTTGTCAATGATCTCAAGGCAGCTGGGACCATAGTCACCAAGAAAACAATTGGTAACACACTACGCCGTGAAGGACTGAAATCCTGCAGCGCCCGCATGGTCCCCCTGCTCAAGAAAGCACATATACAGGGCCGTCTGAAGTTTGCCAATGAACATCTGAATGATTCAGAGGAGAACTGGGTGAAAGTGTTGTGGTCAGATGAGACCAAAATCGAGCTCTTTGGCATCAACTCAACTCGCCGTGTTTGGAGGAGGAGGAATGCTGCCTATGACCCCAAGAACACCATATCCACCGTCAAACATGGAGGTGGAAACATTATGCTTTGGGGGTGTTTTTCTGCTAAGGGGACAGGACAACTTCACCGCATCAAAGGGACAATGGACGGAGCCATGTACCGTCAAATCTTGGGTGAGAACCTTCCCTCAGCCAGGGCATTGAAAATGGGTTGTGGATGGGTATTCCAGCATGACAATGACCCAAAACACACGGCCAAGGCAACAAAGGAGTGGCTCAAGAATAAGCACATTAAGGTCCTGGAGTGGCCTAGCCAGTCGTCAGCCTCGAAACCTTAATGACTTGGAGAAGATCTGCAAAGAGGAGTGAAACAAAATCCCTCCTGAGATGTGTGCAAACCTGGTGGCCAACTACAAGAAACATCTGACCTCTGTGATTGCCAACAAGGGTTTTGCCACCAAGTACTAAGTCATGTTTAGCAGAGGGGTCAAATACTAATTTCCCTCATTAAAATGCAAATCAATTTATAACATTTTTGACATGCGTTTTTCTGGATTTTTTTGTTGTTATTCTGTCTCTCACTGTTCCAATAAACCTACCATTAACATTTTAGATTGATCATGTCTTTGTCAGTGGGCAAACGTACAAAATCAGCAGGGGATCAAATACTTTTTTCCCTCACTGTATAAATAGTAAAACCAGAGAAACTGATCATTTTGCAGTGGTCTCTTAATTTTTTCCGCAGCTGTATATGATTTTGTCATTAATAATAGGTCATTTAGCAGACGCTCTTATCCAGAGCGACTTACAGGAGCAATTAGGGTTAAGTGCCTTGCTCAAGGGCCCATCGACAGATTATTCACCTAGTCGGCTCAGGGATTAGAACCAGTGACCTTTCGGTTACTGGCACAACGCTCTTAACCACTAAGTTACCTGCCGCTCGTTGGTAGGGTTGTCCTAATACCAGCTAACCCTAGTTGGAAACAAACAGCCTGTCATGTACAGTAAGTCACATTTATTGATTTTCCAATCTATAGCACACAATGGGCACGTTCGAGCAGATCAATTTTGTCAAGTCGGTGACCATCATTGGTCACCGCTTTCCAAAGTGTGTTGCATTATGGAGATACAATTTGTTATGATTTGTGCCCACATGACGACTGCGTGAACTTTACAAAAACCATGTGATCAAAGATCATGAAGTTTTGACTGCAGTGGACTGCAAACAAGACAATTATTACATAAAGCAGATTTTAAAGGACTATGGATGCGTTTACACAGGAAGCCCAAATTCACATATTTATATCCACTTTTGACCAATCAGATCGCCTCTGTCAATAATTCAGTTAGGATCAGAATTGGGCTGCTGGTGTAAATGGAGCCCAGAGAGTTTAGCCTACTCTGTTTTGTAGTTTTTGCCATAGAAAATCAGATGGGTTGTCACCATACCACCCTAATCATTAGAATCAGATAGGGCAGTTGGTGACCACCCTAATAATTAACATCAGATAGGGTGGTTGGTGACATCACTAATCATTAACATCAGGTAGGGTGGTTGGTGACATCCCAGTCATTAACATCAGGTAGGGTGGTATGTGTTACAAACAAAATGTATTATTATTATTTTCATGTTATATTTGTCTCTCTGTGGTTGCTATGTAGAAGAGATGAACAGTTTACCTGTTTGGAGACGTCTGTGAGGAGGTCAGGAGATGATCTACACTGTCTGGAGTAGGACCTAGTGGAGAAAGAGACAGGGTTTAATACACACAGACACACACAGACACACACACACAGACACACACACACAGACACACACAGACACACACACACAGACACACACACACACACACAGACACACACACTCACACACAAACACACACAGACAAACACACACACACAGACACACACACACACTCACACAGACACACACACACAGACACACACACACACACACACACAGACACACACACACACACAGACACACACACACACACACACTCACACACAAACACACACACAGACAGACACACAGACACACACACACAGACACAGACACACACACAGACACAGACACACAGACACACAGACAAACACACACACAGACACTCACACAGACACACACACATACATACACACAACACACACACACACACACACACACACACACACACACACACACTCTTCTCACCTCTCAAAGGTCTTGTGTTTCCTCTCTCCTGTCCCCATACACTCCATCAGCTGTTTATGGGTCCTACCACTGAGACAGTACACATTCCATTTCAATCAGCTGATCACACCGTGTGTGTGTGTTTGTGTGTGTCCATGCGTGTGTGTGTCCAATCCTTGTGTGTGTCCATGCGTGTGGCTTCATGTGTGTATGCACGTGTATGTGCTTGCGGGTGTGTCGGTGTGTGTGTGTGACCCTTTGGTGTGTGTGTGTGACCCTTCGGTGTGTGTGTGTGTGTGTGGACCCTTCGGTGTGTGTGACCCTTCGGTGTGTGTGTGTGTGTGTGTGACCTTCGGTGTGTGTGACCCTTCGGTGTGTGTGTGTGTGTGTGTGACCCTTCGGTGTGTGTGTGTGTGACCCTTTGGTGTGTGTGTGTGACCCTTCGGTGTGTGTGTGTGTGTGTGTGACCCTTCGGTGTGTGTGTGTGACCCTATCGGTGTTGTGTTTGTGTGACCCTTCGGTGGTGTGTGTGTGACCCTCGGTGTGTGTGTGTGTGACCCTTTGGTGTGTGTGGTGACCCTTCGTGTGTGTGTGTGTGTGACCCTTCGGTGTGTGTGTGTGTGACCCTTCGGTGTGTGTGTGTGACCCTTCGGTGTGTGTGTGTGTGACCCTTCGGTGTGTGTGTGTGTGACCCTTCGGTGTGTGTGTGTGTGACCCTTCGGTGTGTGTGTGTGTGACCCTTCGGTGTGTGTGTGTGTGACCCTTCGGTGTGTGTGACCCTTCGGTGTGTGTGTGTGTGTGTGTGTGTGACCCTTCGGTGTGTGTGTGTGTGTGTGTGTGTGACCCTTCGGTGTGTGTGTGTGTGTGTGTGACCCTTCGGTGTGTGTGTGTGTGTGTGTGACCCTTTGGTGTGTGTGTGTACCTGTATCTGAAGCTGGACCCCTTGCTGGACAGCAGAGTCTTGCGGCGTGACTGGGGCTCTTCGGCCAGTCTGAAGAAGGCATGGTATTCAACACAGGTCTTCCAGAAGGACTTGGACACGTCTCGACTCGCCATCGCAAACTGTACCGTGTCCTTACGGGAGGGCTGGGGGGGCGGGGGGGGGGGGGGGAGACACGGTTAAACACTCACACATACATATGCAGACAAAAATATATGCAATATTTTAAGAAGTTGTATACGCTAAAATGACAATGGCAACACTTCTCTTGAAATGTCCTTAAAAACACTTGACATTGATTTCTAGATACAGTTGGAGGACAGAGGAATAATATTATTTGAAACGGTCTTACAAAGTTGAATAGAACATGCTTGGGTATTAGAAGTCTCACCCCTATTTGGTCGTGTAGTTTGATGAGGAAGTGTTTCCTCTTGAAGCTCAGTTTACGGACCTTGCCCCAGCTGAAGGTGTTAATCTTAGTGTTACCCTGGAGACGAGAGGAGAGACAGGACAGTGTGTGTGTGTGTGTGTGTGTGTGTGTGTGTGTGTTCCTGTATGTGTGTGTGTGTCTACCTGGAACACCAGAACTCCAGAGTGTGTGACGGCCAGGTTGAGTCTCATGCCCTCTCCGTCGTGAGCAGGGTGGGGGCGGATCCCGTACATGTCCAGTTTCCTAGCAACCTCCAATAGATGGACGTCTGAGTCCGCAGGAGAATGACCCCTGCAACGTTCAATCAATCAACCAATCAGGCTATCCGATAATCAATCAGTGTCTGTGTGTGTGCGCCGCAGGTTTGAATCTGTCTCGAAGCGCGCGCGCTTACCTGTGAACTTCATAATCTTCACCTCTAGATGGTGACAGAAGATGCTAATGCTAAGGAAGTGTCTCCACAGGGGACCATAGGATCTCTATGGCAGTGACCATAGATGGTAATGCTAAGGAAGTGCTTACCTGTGTTTTCTGTGGAACTTCATAATCTTGTGGTCCAGATATTCCTGGTTAGGAACGTACTGTTTCACCTCTAGATGGTGACAGTCCAAATCTTCCTCGTAGTCCCCCAGCTCTGCTGCAGAACACACACACACACATAGGCATACGTACAAACACACACACACATGCACACACACACACATCAAATAAGTAAGTAATTTCAGGTAGGGTGCTTGAGGAGTGAGTCACTGCTATCATCTAAGTCCCGTAATCACGCCGGCTTAAACATTAGCCTGAGCCAGAGCTGGGTTTATTTATCCACCCCTCTTCGGAGGACAAAAATAACTTTGTTTTTATAACTATTTTTTTGTTGTTACATGTACATTCTACATATATTTTACATACATGTTTTCAGTCTTATAGATCTCAGCCCATCTCACCTTTCCCTGTAAAGCACCCTCTTATGATTTATAATGTTCCATATATTTTTGTGCTGTAATGTTTCACAAATTCTGAACCTTTCTAATCGCATAGTATCCACAGATTGTAAATTAAAGATGAATATTTTCACTAAGATTATTATTATATTGCTGATTGATTGACTTTCCAAATCTCCCAACAGTGCTATCTATGTAGGGTTAGTTTTAGGTAAATGTTGTGATTTTTTTTTAACCATTCCTAAACCTGTGACCAGAAACAAGCTACATATGGGCAATGCCAGAATATATGATCTAATGATTCTGTCTCTTCACAGTAAAATCTACAGAGTTGAGATGGTTGTATGCCCCATATACATCGTTCTGTTGGTGGCAAGAATGTTGTATAATAATTGAAATTGAAAAACTAAGTTTTGAATCAAGCGTTGTTTTGTGTATCAGTTCATAAACCACGTGCCATGGAATCGGCACATCTGAAATCTCTTTAGCTAGAGCAGTGAGACAAAGGCAGATCCCGAAAAACGGTTCTTCTCACAAAAACGCCTGTCAAGTCTGAAAGTTTGAGACCTCTATTTCAAAGGAAACTCATTAAAGATGAGGTGTGGCCAATTAGTGGGCGCGGCCAACACACCTGAACGAGACAGAGGAGAGAGAGAGTTTTGTTGACGCTGAGAAAGGAACGTATATGTTTTTAAACGTTACCAATTTTCTCTTGTGGTTTTTATGGAAAGTTTTCTTAATGTTCTGAGAAAATTACTTTAATATAGAACCGTGAGGAAACCTGCAGAAAACGTTATCCTGAAGTACTGAAATTCCCACAGAAGAAAGTTGAATGCAAAATAACCATAGGACGACCAAGCTGTAAGAAATATATGGTTCTCAGAACGTTATGCGCTAGCTGGGTTCTTTCCCAAGTCACAGTGGGAGGACCACACAACATATCATTGCATGACTCCACGTTTATGTCGATATGATGGTTATTATATCAATATTTGCTCATAAATGCGTTTCCACTGCCATTTCTCACATAATAAATGTCAAGGACACAAAAAAGATTCCACCTCGTCTATCGTATTTTGTTTTGTCGACATTTGGAATGTTTAGCGACAGATTTGCTGTTTTCCATCAGGCCTGTCGGGACATGTTTTATCAGGCCTGTCGGGACATGTTTTATCAGGCCTGTCGGGACATGTTTTATCAGGCCTGTCGGGACATGTTTTATCAGGCCTGTCGGGACATGTTTTATCAGGCCTGTCGGGACATGTTTTATCAGGCCTGTAGGGACATGTTTTATCAGGCCTGTCGGGACATGTTTTATCAGGCCTTGCGGGACATGGTTTTATCAGGCCGGTCGGGTACATGGTTTTATCAGGCCTGGTCTGGGAAATGTTTTATCAGGCCTGTCGGGACATGTTTTAATCAGGCCTTGTCGGGTACATGTTTGTATCAGGTCTGTCGGGACATGTTTTATCAGGCCTGTTCGGGACACGGTTTTATCAGGCCTGTCGGGGACATGTTTTATCATGCCTGTAGGCGTTACCTGGTTTTATCAGGGACCTGTCGGGACAGTTTTATCAGCCTGTCGCGGGACATGTTTTATCCGGCCTGTAGGGGGACAATTTGGTTTTATCAGGCTCCTGTCGGGACATGTTTTTATCAGGCCTGTCGGGACATGGTTTTATCAGTTAATCAGGCCTGTCGGGACATGTTTTATCAGGCCTGTCGGGACATGTTTTATCAGGCCTGTCGGGACATGTTTTATCCGACATGTACTTTACTTGCAGAAAGGTTTTGGATGGAAACCTGGTCAGTGACTAGTTGGACATTCATTTCCCACCGAGAAAACAATTTCTGTACTTACAAACATTCTTATCAATTATTTTTTATCAGGTTTGTGCTGATTTTTTTTTATTTTTTAAACATTTGTCAATAAAACTCATGAATGAAACTGTTTATGTCAAATAGTTGTTTGCTCTACTTGTAGCCCTGGTTGTCCTGAAAAGACAATGGTAAAACACTTCATTTTGAGGCCAAATATAAGGGCTGGACATGCAGATAAATGAAACTAGTGAAAAAAAAATGCTGATTTTTGCTGGGGGTCCCTGGACTGATCAGGTTTAAAGTCCTGGAGAAAGGGAATGGCCGGGTCCTATTCATTATTGCACACCATAGCAACACTTTGAATACGACCCAGTGTAACAGAATCGACTTGACTCACACTGCAGTATATGGGACACCAGCAGGGCGGCGCTGTTGTCATTACAGGTCAGACTGCCTGTAGAGAGGTCCTGCTTTATCTGGAGAGCAAACAGATACCTGGAACAGAGGAGAGAGGGAAGTTTACACACACACACACACACACACACACACACACACACAAACAAAGCGCTGTACCCGAGGAACAAAGCGCTGTACCCGAGGATCAGAAGATGTAGATTGTATGACTTTCTTGTATTATATGTTTGCAACAAGATATTCCATGACAACAAGATGGAACCATCCTGAACCTCTTCCCTGACAACAAGATGGAACCCATCCTGAACCTCTTCCCTGACAACAATGGAACCATCCTGAACCTCTTCCCGGACAACAAGATGGAACCATCCTGAACCTCTTCCCTGACAACAGATGGAACCATCCTGAACCTCTTCCCTGACAACAAGATGGAACCATCCTGAACCTCTCCCCTGACAACAAGATGGAACCCACCTGAACCTCTTCCCTGACAACAAGATGGAACCATCCTGAACCTCTTCCCTGACAACAAGATGGAACCATCCTGAACCTCTTCCCTGACAACAAGATGGAACCATCCTGAAACCTCTTCCCTGACAACAAGATGGAACCATCCTGAACCTCTTCCCTGACAACAAGATGGAACCATCCTGAACTCTTCCTGACAAACAAGATGGAACCATCCTGAACCTCTTCCCTGACAACAAGATGGAACCATCCTGAACCTCTTCCATGACAACAAGATGGAACCATCCTGAACCTCTTCCCTGACAACAAGATGGAACCATCCTGAACCTCTTCCCTGACAACAAGATGGAACCATCCTGAACCTCTTCCCTGACAACAAGATGGAACCATCCTGAACCTCTTCCCTGACAACAAGATGGAACCACCCTGAACCTCTTCCCTGACAACAAGATGGAACCATCCTGAACCTCTTCCCTGACAACAAGATGGAACCATCCTGAACCTCTTCCCTGACAACAAGATGGAACCATCCTGAACCTCTTCCCTGACAACAAGATGGAACCATCCTGAACCTCTCCCCTGACAACAAGATGGAACCACCCTGAACCTCTTCCCTGACAACAAGATGGAACCATCCTGAACCTCTTCCCTGACAACAAGATGGAACCATCCTGAACCTCTTCCCTGACAACAAGATGGAACCATCCTGAACCTCTTCCCTGACAACAAGATGGAACCATCCTGAACCTCTTCCCTGACAACAAGATGGAACCATCCTGAACCTCTTCCCTGACAACAAGATGGAACCATCCTGAACCTCTTCCCTGACAACAAGATGGAACCATCCTGAACCTCTTCCCTGACAACAAGATGGAACCATCCTGAACCTCTTCCCTGACAACAAGATGGAACCATCCTGAACCTCTTCCCTGACAACAAGATGGAACCATCCTGAACCTCTTCCCTGACAACAAGATGGAACCACCCTGAACCTCTTCCCTGACAACAAGATGGAACCATCCTGAACCTCTTCCCTTACAACAAGATGGAACCACCCTGAACCTCTTCCCTGACAACAAGATGGAACCATCCTGAACCTCTTCCCTGACAACAAGATGGAACCATCCTGAACCTCTTCCCTGACAACAAGATGGAACCATCCTGAACCTCTTCCCTTACAACAAGATGGAACCATCCTGAACCTCTTCCCTGACAACAAGATGGAACCATCCTGAACCTGTTCCCTGACAACAAGATGGAACCATCCTGAACCTGTTCCCTTACAACAAGATGGAACCATCCTGAACCTGTTCCCTTACAACAAGATGGAACCATGTGATCCTGAACCTGTTCCCTCACAACAAGATGGAACCATGTGATCCTGAACCTGTTCCCTCACAACAAATGGAACCATGTGATCCTGAACCTGATCCCTCACAACAAGATGGAACCATTTGTGATCCTGAACCTGTTCCCTCACAACAAATGGAACCATGTGATCCTGAACCTGTTCCCTCACAACAAGATGGAACCATTTGTGATCCTGAACCTGTTCCCTCACAACAAATGGAACCATGTGATCCTGAACCTGTTCCCTCACAACAAGATGGAACCATTTGTGATCCTGAACCTGTTCCCTCACTGCAGGTGTCACTGATTGACAATGTGGAGAAACACGATCACCGACGATGGCCGTAGTGAGAGACCCTCTACTGACGTATCTGGGGAAGGCATGTGACACACACACACAAACACACCTAAGCACACCTGGGCAGGTAAAACACACACACACACACACACAAACAAACATACCTGGTGAGTCCTCTCTGCAGCTGGCCGGGGTCTGGAGGGAAGAACTTGACGATGAATCTGAAGAACAGATCACTGGTGTCTGAGAGAGAGAGGGGGGGAGGGAGAGAGAGGGAGGGAGGGATTAAGAGAGAAGGGGGGGGGGACATGGAAGGGAGAGAGAGATGAGTTAACCATATAGAAAGAGCAGATGTATTCTCACACACAATCACATAAATAAATACACAAACTTACTCTTGATCTGTTTGGCTAGAGGCTTCAGCAGTTCCAGCCACACCTGGAATAAAATACAAACAAAAATAAAACCACACTTTAATTTAATTGAACTCCAGTATTATTTAACATACTCACGAGTACTTCCCCTCTGTCTAGTAGGTTTACATAGCTTCCAGTGTGATGTCTATAACTTACATACAGTTGAAGTTGGAAGTTTACATACACTTTAGCCAAATACATTTAAACTCGTTTTTTTCACAATTCCTGACATTTAATCCTTGTAAAAATTCCCTGTCTTAGGTCAGTTAGGATCACCACTTTATTTTAAGAATGTGAAATGTCAGAATAATAGTAGAGAGAATGATTTATTTCAGCTTTTATTTCTTTCATCACATTCCCAGTGGGTCAGAAGTTTACATACACTCAATTAGTATTTGGTAGCATTGCCTTTAAATTGTTTAACTTGGGTCAAACGTTTCGGGTAGCCTTCCACAAACAAAATAAGTTGGGTGAATTTTGGCCCATTCCTCCTGACAGAGCTGGTGTAACTGAGTCAGGTTTGTAGGCCTCCTTGCTCGCACAAGCTTTTTCAGTTCTGCCCACAAATGTTCTATAGGATTGAGGTCAGGGATTTGTGATGGCCACTCCAATACCTTGACTTTGTTGTCCTTAAGCCATTTTGCCACAACTTTGGAAGTATGGTTGGGGTCATTGTCCATTTGGAAGACCCATTTGCGACCAAGCTTTACCTTCCTGACTGATGTCTTGAGATGTTGCTTCAATATATCCACATCATTTTCCTTCCTCATGATGCCATCTATTTTGTGAAGTGCACCAGTCCCTCCTGCAGCAAAGCACCCCCACAGAATGATGCTGCCACCCCTGTGCTTCACGGTTGGGATGGTGTTCTTCGGCTTGCAAGCAGCCCCCCTTTTCCTCCAAACATACCGTTGGTCATTATGTCCAAACAGTTCTATTTTTGTTTCATCAGACCAGAGGACATTTCTCAAAAAGTACGATCTTTGTCCCTATGTGCAGTTGCAAACCGTAATCTGGCTTTTTTATGGCGGTTTTGGAGCAGTGGCTTCTTCCTTGCTGAGCGGCCTTTCAGGTTATGTCGATATAGGACTTGTTTTACTGTGGATATAGATAATTTTGTACCTGTTTCCTCCAGCATCTTCACAAGGTCCTTTGCGAAAAGTGCACCAAAGTACGTTCATCTCTAGGAGACAGAACGCGTCTCCTTCCTGAGCGGTATGACGGCTGCGTGGTCCCATGGGGTTTATACTTGCGTACTATTGTTTGTACAGATGAACGTGGTACCGTCAGGCGTTTGGAAATTGCTCCCAAGGATGAACCAGACCTGTGGAGGTCTACACATTTTTTTTTATGAGGTCTTGGCTGATTTCTTTTGATTTTCCCATTATGTCAACCAAAGAGGCACTGAGTTTGAAGGTAGGCCTTGAAATACATCCACAGGTACACCTCCAATTGACTCAAATTATGTCAATTAGCCTACCAGAAGCTTCTAAAGCCATGACATCATTTTCTGGAATTGTCCAAGCTGTTTAAAGGAACAGTCAACTTAGTGTATGTAAACTTTTGACCCACTGGAATTGTGATATAGTGAATTATTGTCACGATCGTCGTTAGATGAAGCGGACCAAGGCGCAGCGTGATATGCGTACATTCTTTTATTGCAGTACACAACACGAACCAAAACAACAAAACAAACGATACGTGAAGTCCTGGGTTGAACACAAACCTTCCGGAACAAGATCCCACAAAATAACAGTGCCAAACAGGCTGCCTAAGTATGGTCCCCAATCAGAGACAACAAGCTGCCTCTGATTGGGAACCACCCTGGCCAACATAGATATACACGAACTAGAACACAAACCTAGAAAACTAAACAATAGAAATTCCACACCCTGGCTCAACATATAATAGTCCCCAGAGCCAGGGCGTGACAATTATAAGTGAAATAATCTGTCTGTAAACAATTATTGGAAAAATTACTTGTGTCATGCACAAAGTAGATTACCTAACCGACTTGCCAAAACTATAGTTTGTTAACAAGACATTTGTGGAATGGTTGAAAAACTAGTTTTAATGACTCCAACCTAAGTGTATGTAAACTTCCGACTTCAACTGTAGCTTCCAGTGTGATGTCTATAATTTACATAGCTTCCAGTGTGATGTCTATAACTTACATAGCTTCCAGTGTTGTCGTGCTCTAGATGAAGTAACTTGCTTTAACTTTATATCTGAAGCATGGTAACAGTGCAGTGCATGCACACCTCAAACTGCAAGACAAATCCTTTACGTATCCCCTTGACCTTCAACCTCAAGAGTGATACTGATTGGCTGTTAAACAAAAAGGAGTTATGGATATTCATTAAAGGTGTATAGCTCCATATATTACACCCCCCCTCTTAGCTAGTGTAACATGCTGTTTTACTGACTGTAGAGTCCAAAGGTTACCGGTGCTCAAGTGTTCATTAGATACCAGGCTTTACCACTGACTCACTCAAGCACATAGTTCTGTAGCCTCCCTGGTAGTTTGGTGCACCTGCCTGCTCTGGTGCACTGACTGGTGTGAGTCTCTATGACAGAGGGTTCCGGTGCACTGACTGGTGTGAGTCTCTATGACAGAGGGTTCCGGTGCACTGACTGGTGTGAGTCTCTATGACAGAGGGTTCCGGTGCACTGACTGGTGTGAGTCTCTATGACAGAGGGTTTCGGTGCACTGACTGGTGTGAGTCTCTATGACAGAGGGTTCCGGTGCACTGACTGGTGTGAGTCTCTATGACAGAGGGTTTCAATTACAGTACCTGGCTTTACCACTGACTCACTCAAGCACATAGTTCTGTAGCTGCCAGTGTGATATCTATACTGAACCAAAATATAAACGCAACATGCAACAATTTCAATGATGTTACTGAGTTACAGTTCATATGAGGAAATCAGTCGATTGAAATAAATAAATTAGGCCCTAATCTATGGATTTCACATGACTGGGGATACAGATAAGCATCTGTTGGTCACAGATTTCTTTTTTTTTTTAAACAGTAAATATCTGGTGTGACCACCATTTGACTCATGCAGTGTGACACATCTCCTTCGCATAGAGTTGATCAGGCTGTTGATTGGGGCCTTTGTAATGTTGTCCCACTCCTCTTCAATGGCTGTGCGAAGTTGCTGGATATTGGCAGGAACTGGAACACGCTGTCATACACGTCGATCCAGAGCATCCCAAACATGCTCAATGGGTGACATGTCTAGTGAGTATGCAGGCCAGCTTCCAGGAATTGTGTACAGATCCTTGCGACATGGGGCCGTACATTATCATGCTGAAACATGAGGTGATGGCGGCGGATGAATGGCACTATAATGGGCCTCAGGATCTCGTCACGGTATCTCTGTGCATTCAAACTGCCGTCAATAAAATGCAATTGTGTTCGTTGTCCGTAGCTTATGCCTGCCCATACCATAATCCCACTGCCACCATGGGGCACTCTGTTCACAACATTTACATTAGCAAACCGCTCACCCACACAACGCCATACATGTGGTCTGCGGTTATGAGGCCAGTTGGACGTAGTGTGACAAAACTGCACATTTTAGAGTGGCCTTTTATTGTCTCCAGCACAAGGTGCACCTGTGTAATGATCATGCTGTTTAAAAAGCTTATTGATATGCCACACCTGTCAGGTGGATGGATTAAGCAATTGGAGAAATGCTCACTAACAGGGATGTAAACACATTTGTGCAGAAATAAGGTATTTGTGCGTATTTGTGCGTATATTCAGTTTATATTTGTGTTCAGTATATAACTTACATAGCTGCCAGTGTGATGTCTGAACTCCAATCCAAAGTATTCTTTCTCCAGCAGCTTGAGGTGACCACACACCTTGTTGAAGAAGTCACATCCAATGATCCTTTGCTGTGGGGTGGCAGGACAGACAGGAAGAAACATGGGACAGGCAGGAGGAGGGGAAGAAGAAGAAGAAGAAGAAGAAGAAGAAGAAGACGAAGAAGAAGAAGAAGAAGAAGAAGAAGAAGAAGAAGAAGAGAAGAATGGGACAGACAGGAAGAAGAAGGAACAACTGGAGGTTACACCTGAAAAGGTGGACATATTTTAATTTGTTTATCCTGTATTTAACCAGGGAAGTCACATTGAGTTGGACATCTCTTTTGAGTTGGGGCTGGCTGGGGTAAGAGTAATGCTTAGGGTTAGTTGTAAAAATCTAATTTGACGTTTTAAAGGTATAGCATGCTACTTCTGTCCTCTAGCATGTCCAGATAGTGACGACTGGCTCATTGAAAGAGCTGACCATTGTGCTGAAACTGCTCGGAAAGGCATTGAAGGACCGTGCTGAAACGTCTCAAAAGGGCAAAGTGCCGTTGTTGCGTAGGCTACTTGAGATGTGGTGTAGCCTAGTAAATACCTTTAAATATATGATGCCAACAACTATCCTATCTGGGATCTAAAAATAAATACAAATAAATAAAGACTATGTTAAAAGCTGATCTAGCCTTTTAAAAAAGAAGGGGGAAAAACGTTAAGCTAGTGCATTCTACAATTCACTTTCATTCTACATATTAATTCTACAGTTTCATTTCATTCTACATATGAATTCTACAATTTCATTTCATTTTACATATTCATTCTACAATTTCATTTCATTCTACATATTCAATCTACAATTTCATTTCATTCTACAATTTCATTTCATTCTACATATTAATTCTACAATTTCATTTCATTCTACATATTGATTCTACAATTTCATTTCATTCTACATATTGATTCTACAATTTCATTCCATTCTACATATTCAATCTACAATTTCATTTCATTCTACATATTCATTCTACAATTTCATTTCATTCTACATATTCATTTCACAATTTCATTTCATTCTACATATTCATTCTACAATTTACTTTCATTCTACATATTCATTCTACAATTTCATTTCATTCTACATATTCAATCTACAATTTCATTTCATTCTACAGTTTCATTTCATTCTACATATTAATTCTTACAATTTCTTTTCATTCTACATATTAATTCTACAATTTCATTTCATTCTACATATTCATTTCACAATTTCATTTCATTCTACATATTCATTCTACAATTTCATTTCATTCTACATATTAATTCTACAATTTCATTTCATTCTACATATTCAATCTACAATTTACTTTCATTCTACAATTTCATTTCATTCTACATATTAATTCTACAATTTCATTTCATTCTACATATTGATTTTACAATTTCATTTCATTCTACATATTGATTCTACAATTTCATTCCATTCTACATATTCAATCTACAATTTCATTTCATTCTACATATTCATTCTACAATTTCATTTCATTCTACATATTCATTTCACAATTTCATTTCATTCTACATATTCATTCTACAATTTACTTTCATTCTACATATTAATTCTACAATTTCATTTCATTCTACATATTCAATCTACAATTTCATTTCATTCTACAGTTTCATTTCATTCTACATATTAATTCTTACAATTTCTTTTCATTCTACATATTAATTCTACAATTTCATTTCATTCTACATATTCATTCTACAATTTCATTTCATTCTACAAATTTATTCTACAATTTAAGTTAACTTTTCCCATTCAGCCTATAGGCTACCCTCCTCCATTTAGCCTATAGGCTACCCTCCTCCATTTAGCCTATAGGCTACCCTCCTCCATTTAGCCTATAGGCTAACCCTCCTCCATTTTAGCCTATAGGCTAACCCTCCTCCATTTAGCCTATAGGCTACCCTCCTCCATTCAGCCTATAGGCTACCCTCCTCCATTCAGCCTATAGGCTACCCTCCTCCATTCAGCCTATAGGCTACCCTCCTCCATTCAGCCTATAGGCTACCCTCCTCCATTCAGCCTATAGGCTACCCTCCTCCATTTAGCCTATAGGCTACCCTCCTCCATTCAGCCTATAGGCTACCCTCCTCCATTCAGCCTATAGGCTACCCTCCTCCATTCAGCCTATAGGCTACCCTCCTCCATTCAGCCTATAGGCTACCCTCCTCCATTTAGCCTATAGGCTACCCTCCTCCATTCAGCCTATAGGCTACCCTCCTCCATTCAGCCTATAGGCTACCCTCCTCCATTTAGCCTATAGGCTACCCTCCTCCATTTAGCCTATAGGCTACCCATGCCATGCAGATAATAGTTAGGTCTCTATATCTGTTTTGGCGCACTATTTTGGGATCCATTCCCCAACTGTTTAGGGGAGTCTAGGTTCTGTCAAGAGCTTTTACCTTCCCGTTATCTCTCTGACTCACTCTGCCTTTAATCACCGGTGCCGCTAACGGAGGAGATGAGATGGGCGTGTGCGTGTACGTGAGTTTTTTTCCCAGCGCTGTGACACAGCCGAACCCGGTGTTTAGGCCTGCTGACTGACACGACGGGGGAGCGCGTGTATCCTCTCATTACCGTGGCATTACCGGACGTCGAGGCGGGAGGAGAATCGTCCCATAACCGGTCATCAACAACGTTTAACGTCCGCCCTCAGGGCATTTTTAACAACTAGGCTATCAAACTACCGATTAGAGTCATCAATTGACCAGCAAGAGAGAGAGAGAGTGAGAGATAGATAGATAGATAGATAGATAGATAGATAGATAGATAGATAGATAGATAGATAGATAGATAGATAGATAGATAGATAGATAGATAGATAGATAGATAGATAGATAGATAGATAGATAGATAGATAGATAGATAGATAGATAGATAGATAGATAGATAGATAGATAGATAGATAGATAGATAGATAGATAGATAGATAGATAGATGGTGCTGAACACACAAACTCTTATCTCTAGTCTATACACACTTAGAATAAATGGTTCCCAGGTAGAACTGTTTTGGATTCCATCTAGAACCCTCTGTGTAAAGGGTTCTTCTACATGGAACTCAAAAGGGTTCTGCCTGGAACCAAAAATGATTTTTCAAAGGGTTCTCCTATGGGGACAGCCGAAGAGACAACCTGGTCTCAGAGCATTTCGTATTATTCTGTATGACACTCCATTTAGTGTGATATGTTACGTTGCGTATGGTATGTATACATTTTTGGATGTCCATCAACCATTTCGTATGATATGTTATGGATTACAATTAGTATTATATGTTACGAATTGGAAAACGTCCAATATGTTACGAATTTTCAAAACATTATGTTACTAATTTGTAAAACGTACAATATGTTACAAATATTCATAAAAACTTACAATATGTTACGGATTTGCTAAACGTATGATATGCTACGAATTCTAGCTAGATGGCTAATGTTAGCTAGCTCACTAACGTTAGCTAGGCCAGGGGTTAGGGTTAGGGGTTAGGGTTAACGATCTGGCCTTAATGGCCATGTACTCTTATAATCTCCACCCGGCACAGCCAAAAGAGCCTGGTTCCTCTCTAGGTTTCTTCCTAGGTTCCTGTCTTTCTAGGGAGTTTTTCCTAGCCACCGTGCTTCTACATCTGCATTGCTTGCTGTTTGGGGGTTTTAGGCTGGGTTTCTGTATAAGCACATTGTGACATCTGCTGATGTAAAAGGGGCTTTATAAATAAATGTGATTTGATTTAAGGTTAAGTTTAGGAGAAGGTTAAAAGGTTAAGGTTAGGTGAAGGGTTAGCTAAAAGGGTTAATGGCGTTAGGGTAAAGGGTTAGCTAACATGCTAAGTAGTTGCAAAGTAGCTAAAAAGTACTAAGTAGTTGAAAAGTTGCTAATTAGCTAAAATGCTAAAGTTGTCCGTGATGAGATTCAAACTCACAACCTTTGGGTTGCTAGACATTGGCGTTGTCCACCCTACTTTAGTTTTTGCCATAAGTAACCATCTGTCTTATGTAACCGTACCAAACGTAACATATCATACTAAATGGGGCGTCTCGGCTTTACAGTATGTACAAAATAATACGAAATGCTCTGAGACCAGGTTGGAAGAGAACATTTCAGGTTCTAGATAGCACGTTTTTTTTCTAAGAGTGTATAGGCCAATCATCCATCCAGCACCTACCCCCTCCCTCTCTCTGTGGCCAGGCCGCTAAATGTTGATTCGGCCCGGGGGTAAAGAGATGGGTTATTGGGGGCAAGAGAGTGGCTGGTGGTACTCTACTCACTCTCGCCCCCCCCCCCCCCCCCCCCCCCTTACAAAAACACACAGCGGGGGCCTTTCTTCCTTTTCACTCTCCCTCCATCCCTGGCGCCGAGGAGATGCAGTAAAGGCCCGCGAGGCCCCGGTCACCCGTGCGCTCTGACAGAGAAAGCATGCGCTACCGGATAATGGAACCGGGAATAACGGCTACTTTACAAGGACAACACCGCGAGCGAGCCAACACACACAGACGCGCGCACACACCATAGCTATACATCTCATAATATAGATCCTATTGAATCGATAGACTTCCTGAGTTACCCGAGTTTGATGTTTATGTAAAACAAGCATACGCATTTGAAAAACATTTACACATAAACGAATTCCCTTCAAGGCTACACAAGTTAACAGTTGCAATGAATAAGTGAATGCATGCGCAAAATAACATGGCACAAAACAAAGGCACAAAACTAGCTCATATTATAGAAACATTTAGTGAGTATGTATGTAACGTATTTTTTTGTACTGTAAACGTAAACTAACTGTTTTGATTTACCTCGACCTCAAACGCGCGCTCGCTGTCGTCCAGAAATATTACGCGCAGCTGGAGTTTTCCTTCCTTGGAGACTCCGGGCTTCGGCTTGCGGGGAGAACGGAGCGCCAGCTTCCCGCGCCGGTCACCCATCTCTCTCTCTCTCTCTCTCTCTCTCTCTCTCTCTCTCTCTCTCTCTCTGGTTCCGGTCCAATCCAAACACCTTTTACACAAAAAAGAAGTAAACGATAACGGAAG